TTTATATTTAAAGTGGGTTTCTTGTAGACAACATATATTTGTATTGTTTGTTGTTTTTTTTTTTAATTTTAACCTCACCTAAGGACATGCTTACTGATTTTGAGAGAGAGGGTAAGGGAGGGAGAGAAGGAGAGAAACATTAATGGGAAAGAGAAACATCTATTGGTTGCCTCTCACATGCGTCCTGACCAGGGACTGAACCTGCAAGCTAGGCGGGCGCCCTGACCAGAAATCAAAACTCCAACCTTTCATTTTATGGAGGAAAATGATGCTCCAACCAACTTAGCCATACAGGCCAGGGCAGTTCAATCTTGCTTTTGAATCACTCTGACAATATTTGTCTTTCAATTGGTGTATCTAGATTGATTTTTAAAGTGATTATTGATAGTTGGATTAACATATTCCATACTTATTATTGTTTTCTATTTGTTGCTCTTTTTATTTGTTCCTATTTTTGTCCTCCACTTTGTTTTGCCTTTTGTGGTACTAATATTCTCTTTCCTCTCCTTTTCAAGAATATTGGCTGTACTTTTTCTTAAAAGATTTTTAGGGGTTGTCCTAGAGTTTGCAATATATACTTAACGACTAACCCAAGTCCGTCTTCAAATAACATTGTACTTCTTCACAACTAATGAAAATACCTTGTAGTAGCAAAATAATCCTAATTCCTCCCTCGGGCTTTATATCATTGCTGTCAATCATTTCACTTATACATAAACATATGTATGTATATATATTAAATTGTCACTTATTTTTGAACAAACTGTTATCTGTTAGATCAATTAAGAATAAGACAGTTAATACTTTTTCTTTAACTTCATTTATTCCTTCTCTGATGCTCTTGCTTTCACTGTGTGGTATCTGAGTTTCTGACCTATGTTATTTTCCTTCTGTCTGAAGAACTTCTTTGAACATTTCTTGAAAGGCGGGTCTGCTGGCAACACACATTCCCTCATTTTTTGTTTGTCTAAGAAAGTCTTTATTTCAAGCCAGGGGGCAAAAGACAAATACCATATGATCTCACCTATGTGTGGAACCTAACCAACAATACAAAGATGCAAGAAAAATAAGGCCAGCAACACTGAAAGGAAAAGAAACCAACAGAGACAAGAGGGAAGGAGGGAGGGGGGGGCGGGGGAAAAGGAAGGGAAGGGGAAAGTCAAGGAACATATAGCAAGGACTCATGGACAAAACCAAAGGGAAGAGTTGAGGGAGGGCAGGAGGGAGGGGGCAAGGGAAAGTGGTGGGGGGTAGGCAGAGACAAATGTATTGGAAAAAATAATTAATTTAAGAAAAGAAAATCTTTATTTCTCATTCACTTTTGAAGGATAATTTTGCAGTGCAGAGAATTCTAGCTTGGTAGGGTTTTTTCCTCAAATACTTTAAATATTTCACTATTTAGGATGGGGTGGGATGGGAATTTATTCTCTTTGGTGTCCTCTGAGCTTCCTGGATCTCTGATTTAGTGTGTGACATTAATTTAGGGAATTTCTCAGTCATTACTGCTTCAAATATTCCTTCTGTCCCATTCTTTTTCTGACATTTTCATTACCTGTATGCTATACCATTTTTAGATGTCCACAGTTCTTGGATATAACAATCTGTTGGGTTTTTTTTTTAATTCTCTTTTCTCTTTGCTGTTCAGTGTTAGATGTTTCTACTGACATATCCTCAAGCTCAGAAATTCTTTCCTCAGTTGCAACCAATCTACTAATAAGCCCAGCAAAGGCATTCTTTAATTCTGTTACTATGTTTTTGATCTCTAGCATTTTTTTTCTCTTTCAGAGTTTATATTTCTTTGCTTGCATTGCCCATCTGTTCTTGCATGCTGTCTACTTTACCTATTAGAGCTTTTAGCATGATAATTACACTTATTTCTAATTCCCTGTGTGATAATTCCCATATCCCTCCCACAAGTACACCTGGTTCTGATGGTTTCTCTGTCTCCAATTTTTTTTCCTTCTAGTATGCCTTGTAAATTTTTCTTGATAGTTGGACATGATGGTAAAAGGAACTTCAGTAAATAGGCCTTAGTAATCTGGTAGTACGTTGTTGGGGAGGGGAAGTGTCCTCTAGTCCGAGGTTTAGAACTCAGTCTTTTAGTGGGCTTGTGTCTCTGGATTGTGAACTTCACAAGTGCTTCTCGTTTGCTCACCTACCTTCCTCTCTACACCCTGTGACAAGATGGCTAGAGTGGGCTCCAGCTGGATATTTCCAATCTCCCATATGGAAAGCTAGAGTCAGTTGGAGTGGGCAATGTCCCTCCTCCCAGGTTTGTTAGGCTCTAAAAACCCCCAATAGCTTAGGTTTTGGTAAAAATGATTTCTCTCGGGGGCAAGCTTTGTTAGGAAGAACAGAATGTTCTGGCATATTTCAAAATGGTTCCTTTCCCTTCCCCCTGGTGGAAGCACAACGGGATTCTTCTCCCATATTCACTGAGAGAACTGGTTTAGCTTCTGGAGGTAAAACCCACAAAAGTGTAGCGGCACCCTTATGACTGGGTCCCCCAGGAGTTTTTAACTCTCAGACTTGTCCATGCTGAGCCTCCAGTAGTTCATCCATTACAGTTTAGGTTTTCATACCTTGATACTGATTCTTGCAGAGGTTTCTGCTCAGGAGCTTCTGCTTTGGTAAGTTGCAATTCTCTCTCTCTCCAATTTTGGGGCGGTGGTTTGCCCTGTGACCTTACTTCTCTGATGAAGCTACAGTCAGGCACTGCATAAGGATGTTTTGGTCAACAAGAGACTGCATATACAACGGTGGTCCCATAAGATTATAATAAATTATAAGCAGAAAGTTTGTTTGCAATGTTGAAAGAAAAGGGTGGACCCAGCTACCTGATTTTTACCTGGAGAAAGGCAGGTACCAACTGACCTAATTTACAAAGGATTTGTAAAAGTCTTAATGAGATGAAATTTTGGCCTAGCTAAGAAACAAGTTCTTTCTCACATAGAGACTGGATGACAGGTATTGCATAAAGTTATTTTAGACCAAGAAGGAAGAATATTAAATTTCCTTTTCTCCCCCTCAACACACAAATCTGGATAACTTCCTTTGAAGTTGGTAGTATTAATAAGCTCCAACTAACACCTATAAAGCAAAGTTCACCGATTCTACTGCTTCTCATCAAAGATTCCACGAGTTATAAGACACACAGTTATGTAGCACTAAGAAAAAAACACTGCTAAATAATTATGAGATATAATCAAATGTAAGATATATCCTTATTTCAGATTTTCAAATGTGGGAAAATGTCCACATTAGAATATAGTAGCCTAGATCTCTTCTTTGAACTCCAAGTCTGTGTGGTCACTTGAATTTCTCACAGGCTCCTTAAACCTAATGTGTCCCAATCTAGATTCTTCATCTACCTTGTTAAAGCCGTTTCTTTTCCTGCATTCCCTATCCGGGCAAATGGAGCCACCCCAACTAGAAACATGTTAGACATGCCAGACTCCTGACCCTCTTATCAGTTCCGTCTCATACATCTCTTTTCAAGACATTGCCCTCTCTTTTCCCCTCCACCGTGGCTTTGAGTCAGGTCTTCCTCATCTCTCCACAGGATTACAGCAGTAATCTCTAAATTGCTCTCCATTCCTCTAATGAATTCCTACTCTACACTGTCCTTCTTTTCTTTTTTAAGTATCAATCTAACATTATTCCTTGCTTTTAAAATCCTACAAGATGAAGGCTCCATCCAAAAAATAGGCACAAGACAGGAAGAGGCCACATCACACAAGTGAAAAATACATTTACACATGTGAAAAGTTGTTCATCTTCATTACAAACTAAGTGTAACAATGACATTTTTTTCACCTATTCAATTGGCAGTTTGTGAGAACTGATAACAAGGCATGCAAGAACGTTGAGAAATACTCCTATATATCATTGCTGGTGGACAATATTTTAGATGACATTTTGGCAAAGTTTTGGATATGTGAAGGAAATCAAACTGCCTATTATCTCTAAGCCTCAATTACTGCATTTGGTCAAATTGGGCTGATATCTGCACTACTGGCCTTAAGGAAGTGCAATAATTTAGGGGGAAGTGATTTTTATAATGGTAGCTAACATTGACGGGGTACTTGCTGTTCTAAGTGCTTCATATGTGTTACCTCATTTAATCTTCACAATAATCCTGCAAGTACTACTATTATCATCCCCATTTTACCTCTGAGAGAAGGCACAGAAAATTAAATATTGCCCAAAGAGTGAAGCTGGGATTACTGGCATTAAATGTACAAAGGGGGCTCTAGCTTTTTGCAGCGACCTACACCGCTGTTGTTTTATGTGATAGCCCATAGCCATCCATAGTTAAAACCAGTTTATTTAGTTTTTTTTCCTTCGTTAGTTACCATCAACTGGCTTTCTCTAATTGCTTTGTGTCCTGTCTAACTGAGCTCCGGAAAACAGCCCACCTCTCACTCCAATTCGTTGTCAGTGAGTACCCAATTCGATCAACATTGGGTACACGGTAAAGCCTTAGGTAGAAGCCTCACAAATGCTATCGCGCATTTCTGTGGGACCAAAGGCCTATCTTTACAAATGTGAAGTAATTTCCACGAGGCTGAGGCAGATACACAATAACAAGCTGGATACAGGTGAGTAGGCGCCTTGATGATCACAGCTCCGCTCCACATCTGAGCTCTGAGACGGACCTTTCCAGCTTTCCTGTGTCAGTCGTATTTCCCCGGAACCTTTCCTGCGGATTCTCATGCAGCCGGCCGGTACAACGCCACTGAACACACAACATAGCAAGTACTAGTAGTCTAACTGTATGCCTGAAATTTCTAGCTCACTTACATAACCTGGGGGAAAGCACCCTCAGGTTCTTGCACTTTTTAAAGTACTGGGTGACGAAAAAAATTGTATCCCTTAATTAATATAATAATTAAGTGACTTCGAGAAAGTTTGTTCTTCTTTTTGGTTAGGCGTATGTACGGACAGCTCATTTGGAACGAACAGGGAAGGCGGGGGAAGAAAGCGGAAGCCGCAGGGTCTTCTAAACTAGAAAGTCTACGGAGGTAACGCCAGGCGATCTGCTGCGCTCTCCTTTTAGACGCAGCGTTAGAAGCAGGCAAGGGGAAAGGCGTCGTCGCTGGAGCTGAAACCAGGCGGCCAGAGTTCTCAGGGATGAACCTCGAGTTGCTGGGTAAGGAGGGCTATGGCTGCGTCTTAGAGAACGTTTTGGTTCTGGAAAAGGGGGCACTGGGAAGGGAGAGGATTCAGGCTGCAGCCTTAGCTAGCTAGCTCTGCTGTGGATCACTGGGAGCTCCTGATACGCAGCAGGAGGAGAAAGCCCAGCTTCTGCCTAAGCAGAATGCATTGCCTTTCCCAAGGCTATTTTCCGATCAGTTTTGGATAGGGACAGTTTGTGACTTAGTTTTGATGACAAGCATCACAGGTGCTAAAATAGCCCAGAACAGGCAGGACCAGAGTTACTGGAGAAGGAATCTGAGGGAGAGAGGCTTGAAGTGAAGCTCCGAAGACTTGTCAGGGATTTGAGTGTCTGGACAGGTTAAATCCTTTTGTAGAAATACGGGATGCCTGAGGAGGGGAACTTGGAGATCTTCTAGTTGAAGTCCCTCGTTGACCAGATGAAAAAATCCTCAGAGGGTAGTGACTTAAAGACACTAAACAAGTACATGGCATAATTGGCACTGGAATCCAGTTGTCTTGGCTTAGTATTTAAGCTTCGTAACTACCAGGGATGGTGTGTAAAACACTGAGGTGTGAACTACGGAGGCATTTGCCTTTTGCCACCCTCTCTTTAAGTCATTTCCTCCCTAGGCCTTTCCCAAGTTGTTTAAACACTGTGGGTTCTTTCTTCTAGGCTTTCATTAGGTGTTTAGCATGGTAGCCTAGGGATGTCTAAGGTTTTCCAGAACTCCTAAACGACTCGCTGTCTTTAGTGGATATGTTTCTCTTTGAAAAAAGATCAGAAGCTGTTTTTGGCTGCACAAAGGACTACAAAGATATTTAAGAAATGGTCTTTACCTGTAAGGAGCTCTTTCTTATGCAGAAAAATTAGGATGATTATGTAAATAACCATAATGTATTGCAGAACGTAGGAAGGCCTTTAAGAGTCATTACAAAGAGCTAAGAATATTTAGAAGAGGGAATTAATATCATTGGAGCAGGGGAAGAAAGACAATCAGGAACAAAAAGGCTGTGGAAGAGTTGGCGTTTTGAGTGGACATTTAAGATTGGTAAAATATTGACAGACTGTAGTATGACGATTTGGGGAGGGGTGCTTACGAGGAATGTTTGGTATAAGATATCAGTGAGAGAAGACCTGCTTGGTTGTGGGTGCTGTGAATAAAAAGAAGGTCAAGAGAAGGGGTTGGTGCCATCAATTTTGTGGAGGCTGTCGAATGTCCAGCTGGAAAGTTTGTGCTTCTTAAAAAAGGTATGGAAGATATAGTGAAGGGTTTTGACTTGGTAAGTAACTCAATCGGAGCTATGAATTTATTTTTTTAACGATTTACCTGACAACATTGTTTAGTTGAGTCTTGGAGGGTACGAAACCAGTTTGTAGGGCTGGAGTAGATGAGTGAGATGGAAGGCCTGAGCTAGGAAATAGGAAGAAAAGACATCAAGAAGGTAAAATTGACAGAATTTGAGAACTTACTTTATATGAAGGCGGTGGTGCAGGTGGGGAGGAAGACACTGAAGTGAAAAATGATGGCAGCCAGTGGTGGTGTTACTGATAAACATTTAAGGACGTTAGTAAAAGATGGCATTAGGTTATGTGGGTTGAGTGTGGATCTGGGGTTCAGGAGGTAGGTGTGGCTTTATGAGGGAGATTTGTTATCCTCCTACACGTGGTCTAATTGAAACCTTGTGCATAGATGAGACCAAGGGAGAAAGTGAGAGGGGCAGAATAGAAAACTACTGATGACAGAAGCTTGGACTTACCTACATTTAGGGGATAAGAGGATAAATGATATAATGATAAGAAGTTAACTAACAGTTATATAATACTCCGAGCTAGTCGTGTTTTTAAGTGCTATCCATATATTTATCCAGTAGAGGAAGAAGAGAGTATACAGATTGGTGTGGTGTGATATATTCCAGAGAAGCCAACTGTAGAGCATTTGAGGCTGAGCGCTGGGAAAGGGCTGCTCTGTTTAGTCCTTAGGCATCTTGGGACGCCCTCAGCCACATGAGCAGAAACCAAATTACAATGGTTTTAGGAAGGTGTGGGAGACAAAACGAAGGAAAAGAGTCGGCCCTTACTGTTCAAAACTTAAACTATGGAGGAAAGATGATAGACTAGTACATTCAAAGAAATAGCAAAATCATAGGAAAGGTGTTTTTTTTAATTATACAGAAAATTCATAAGGGTGAAACTTAAGAAGGAATATTTAACATTGGAAGGCTAGACAGTTTAAAAGAAGGCTGGGTCCAAAAGATAGAAATCTCTATGGAAGTGACTCTGAGTTTTAAAGTGGAAAGTTAGCGATTACAGAGAAAATGGAGAAAGGAGCAGAAGTGATACGATTGTGGGAGCATACTAAAGGATGCCTGGCCAGAAAAAGGAAAGGAGTGATAATGTGTTTTTAATGTGGACAGGCAAGATGCTACATCTGCAGCCACTTTATGAGCCCTCCCTGTCTATCAAGCAGGATGCACTAGAGATACAAAGTTACATAAGAGTTTTTCAAACTCACTTTTCTCACAACTCATAATACAAATATATTTTCTATCACAACCCATTATATATACTCACATATATAACTGAGTTTCTCAAAATTACACTTAATCCTTGTTATGCTAAGTGTCCTCTGGTATCTTCTAATCTATTAAAAAAAAAACCTTGCGGCTCACTAAATTGATTTATCCATTTATGGTGGATTGGGTTCTACTGTTTGCAAAACATTGAAATAATATACAGCCGTTGCCCTGGAAAAATACATAGAACTAGGAGAAGAGAGACATAAACAAATGATAAGCCAGTGGCAGTTTAAATCTAGAAAGCTCATTGAAGTTCTTTAATTTCATGCTTTTCAAATGAATAAACGCATACTCATATTTATCACCACAGTGGAAACAATATAAATATGTGTGCAGAAAACATGATCTTTCTCCCCGACTCCACATGGTAACTGTCTGGAGTTTCTCCTTTTATACCCATTTGCTTGCTCAGATAAACACGTATAAAGAAATGTCTAAGGGCTTTGTTTTTGCTTTTTCCAGCTATAGAACCTTTATAGATACATTATTTGCACCTTGCTTTCTTCACTTAATAATGTAAAGATACTGTACCTACACATTAGGAGATAATAAATCTAACAATTTTTAATGTATTCATGTAGATACACCCATGATATGTAATTTTAACTATGGATGCTTTTTTCTTTTAAGATTTTTATTTATTTTTAGAGAGAGGGGAAGGTAGAGAGAGAGGGAGAGAAACATCAATCTATAAGAGAAACATTGATCAGTTGCCTCTCACATGCCCTCAGCTGGGGACCTGGCTCGCAACTCAGGCATGTGCCATGACTGGGAATTGAACCAGTGACCTTTCAGTTCACAGGCCCACACTCAATCCACTGAGCCACACCAGCCAGGGCTGGATTTTTTTTTCAGTGTTTTTTTCCTTGCTCCATTTTCTTGGTAATCACTTATGTTTTCTTTCACATTTTTCTCCCTGCCTATACTTGTATTTGTATTTATACACATTAACCAAAAAATGAGACATTTTATATACTTTGTTTTGCTTTTTTATTCACTTAGTAACAAGTGAAAATTTTTCTCAGAGAATTAGTGTAATTTATCCATATTTGAATATTTTTTCTTGCTCCAAAATAGCCTGAATAACACAATAGTTACCTGCTTTTGAAATTTTTTTTTTTTGCTCTTGAAATTTAAGATAAATTGCTCACAAAATCATGTGCCTCCTGCCCTTTTTCTTTTTTCTCTTTTTAAAATAGTAGGTCTTTAACAGCCTTTCAATGTGTTTACATATTGATTGATTCATTGAGGATTTTTCTCTGTTATTCATGTTTTTTGAATTATCAAGTATATTATGAGACTGGGCTGGCATGGCTCAATGGATTGAGTGCCAGATTGCAAATCAAAGGGTCACCGGTTTGATTCCAAGTCAGGGCATGTGCCTGGGTTGCGGGCCAGGTCCCCAGTGGGGGAGGTACATGGGGGTGGGGGCAACCACACATTGATATTTCTTTCCCCCTCTCTCCCTCCTTTCCCTTCTCTCTAAAAATAAATAAATAAAATATTTTTTTAAAAACAGAAGAATATTATGAAGTTAAATCTCTTTGGCCAGGGTTTATTTTTCTTTGTCATTCACATCTTTAGGCTTCTTTTTTTCCCCTTAACTGTCTTTAAAACCAAGGCTAAGTAATCTAATTGTAATACAAAATGGTAGATGATGGGAAGATGGAAAATATAAAAGTGGTCTTGAGCATTCTGAGGAAATTGCCTTGTGCCCCCATAACCCTACTTCACAGCGTTCTTATTCAGGCCCTACAACTGAAGTGTCCTAAACTAGCTTCGTCTTTTTTAGATGTCATTTTCTCTTTGTGCTCCTTTAAACTCATTATTGTAACCTTGTTAACCAGGATGACCCTCCAGAAAACAAAAAAAACAAAAAAAACCTCAACGCAAAACATAATACAAAATTGCGGTAATCTCTGTTGAGTGGATAATCATACATTAAAATGGTCCCTGGATTCTGCATTCTCTCAGAATCTTTTCTTTTTTTTTTTTTTAAGATTTTATTTATTTACTTATCTTTTTAGAGTAGAGGAAGGAAGGAGAAAGAGAGAGAGACATAGGTCTTGCATGCCCCCAACTGGGGACCCGGCTTGAAACCCAGCCGTGTGCCCCAAGCAGGAATCAGACCAGCCAACAACCCTTTGGTTCGCAGCCGTCGCTCCGTCCGCCGACCCACACCAGTCAGGGCTGCGTCCTCTCAGAAACGTAGGTGTGGCTTTCTCTTCTCCCAGCACAGCACAAGTCGCACTCTGCTCCTTCCTGAGTACTTTATGTTTTTAGGTTGTATTTTTAAAATTTCTTTTGTTTTTAACTTTTAAATAAGTACCCCTTTTAATGTTTCTTAAACATGTGACTATTGATCTGTATTGTTGATTGGAAAGATGTGTAGGATATGTTGTTAAAGAAGCAAGTTATATAATAATATGTGTAGTATCTTGTTTTGGTTTCAACATTTCATTTCTTTTGAATGCAATCAGCCACCATAAGTCTGGTGCACACTAGATAAATCAAAATAATTACCCTTTTTGGCAATTATTTACCTTGCGTTTCATCTTTCTTTTAGTTTTCTTAATTATAGGGCCTCTTGGGGGGGTTGATGTTTTAATGTTTTCATTCTTCAGTTTTCTGTTAATTTTTTTAAAGGACAAAATGTTAAAGTCGGTTTCAGGCTCTTTTTTTTTTTTTTTAAAGCATATGTCTTTTTAAAATGAAATCTTATTTGGATGCCCTATATGTAAAACAGCTTTCTTGGACCACTAGTTCTCTGAGTATAGTTTAAAAACAATTGTAATAAGCCCTGGCTGGTGTGGCTCAGTGGATTGAATGCTGGCTGGCCTGCGAACCAAAAGGTCGCTGGTTACATTCCCAGTCAGGACACATGCCTGGGTTGCAGGCCAGGTCCCTCGTTGGGGACCTGTGCCAGGCAATTGATCTATGTATCTCTCACATATCAATGTTTCCCTCTCTTTTGCCCTCCCTTCCCTTCTCTATAAAAATAAATAAATAAAATCTTTAAAAACCATTGTAATAAAATTGTCAGGTAATTACATAAGTAAATATTGACAAAGATGAGTGTTGCTGCTGAAATTAAATTTCTGACAAGCAGGCAGTTTCATATTCTCTGTAACTTGAAATGTTTATTACTACTGATGTATAAATACAAAATTTAATATAGGAAAAGCATTCAGGAATTTTTAAAAAAATATATTTTATTGATTTGCTATTACAGTTGTCCCATTTTTTTTCCCCTTTATTCCTCTCTGCCCTGCACCCACTCTCCCTCCAGCATTACCCCGCCCACCCCACCCCCCAGTTCATGTCCATGGGTCAAACATATAAGTTCTTTGGCTTCTCCATTTCCTGTACTCTTCTTTACCTCCCCGTCTATTTTGTACCTACCATTTATGTTTCTTATTCCCTTTTCCCCCATTTCTCACCCCCGCCCCCTCCTAGCTGATAACCCTCCATGTGATCTCCACTTCCATGATTCTGTTCCTGTTTTAGTTGTTTGCCTAGTTTGTTTTTGTTTTTGTTTTTCAGGTTTAGTTGTTGGTAGTTGTGAGTTTGTTGTCATTTTACTGTTCATAGTTTTGACTTTTTCTTAGATAAGTCCTTTAACATTTCGTATAATAAAGGCTTGGTGATGATGAATTCCTTTAACTTTACCTTATCTGGGAAGCAGTTTATCTGCCCTTCTATTCTAAATGATAGCTTTGCTGGATAGAGTAATCCTGGATGTAGGTCCTTGCCTTTCACGACTTTGAATACTTCTTGCCAGCCCCTTCTTGCCTGTAAGGCTTCTTTTGAGAAACCAGCTGATAGTCTTATGGCAACTCCTTTGTAGGTAACTGTCTCCTTTTCTCTTGCTGCTTTGAAGATTCTCTCCTTATCTTTAGTCCTGGGTAATGTAATTATGATGTACCTTGGTGTGTGCTTCCTCGAGTCCAACTTCTTTGGGACTGTCTGAGCTTCCTGGACTTCCTGGAAGTCTGTTTCTTTTGCCAAATTAGGGAAGTTTTCTTTCATTATTTTTTCAAATAAGTTTTCAATTTCTTGCTCTTCCTTTTCTCCTTCTGGCACCTCTCTGATTCAGTTATTGGAACATTTAAAGTTGTCCCAGAGGTTCCTAGGCCTCTCCTCCTTTTTTTGCATTGTTTCTTCATCCTGTTCTGGTTGAATGTTTATCTCTTCCCTCTGCTCCAAATGGTTGATTTGAATCCCAGTTCCCTTCCCTTCACTGTTGGTTCCCTGTGTATTTTTCTTTATTTCACTTCACATAGCCTTCTCTTTATCCTCTATTTTGCAACCATATTCAACCTTTTCTGTGAGCATCCTGATTACCAGTGTTTTGAACTCTGCATCTGTTAGGTTGGCTCTCTCTTTATCACTTAGTTGTGTTTTTTCTGGAGTTTTGATCTGTTCTTTCATTTGGGTCATTTTTCTTTGTGTTGGTGCTCTTGTGATGTTGTAAGGGACAGAACCTTAGGTATTCACCAGGGCGGGGCAACCCAGGTAGCGGTGTTGTGGTGTTGTGCCGGGGGGGGGCGTCAGGGAGGGAACAATGCTACTTGCTCTGCTCTCTGCCAGCTTTCAGTCACTTCCCCGTCTACCCACAAGCAAATTGGGCCCTTCTAGTGCTGATTCCCAGGTATGTGGGTTTGTGTACATTCTAGGACCCCATGGGTCTCTCCAACAATCTCTCCTGTGAGGCTGAGAGTTTCTCCCACTGCTGCAACCCACACAGGTTTTTACAGCCAGAGGGTTTGGGGCTTTCTGTTCCCTCGCTGGAGCCCTGGGTTGCACAGTCAGTCTCGCTGTCCAGTTGTTCCTGTCAGTTTATCCACAAGCGAATGTGGGACCATCTGGTCCTTCAGCCGCTGCCTTGCTGTATGTCCTCTCTGCCCTGGCTGCCTGTCTCCACCCCTCCTACCTGTCTGGATGAATGTTTCTTATTTAACTCCTTGGTTGTCAGACGTTCGATTTTCTGGCAATTCTGGTTGTTTTTTGTTTTTAAATTTGTTGTCCTTTTTTCAGTTGGGTGAGGAGGCAAAGTTGGCTGAAGTCCACATTCAGGGATTTTTGTACCAAAATGTTTTTTGCTTAAGAAATGGAGAGTTGTGTGTTTAACCAGCTGCTAGATTATATCATAGCCTAAATGCTATTATTAATCAGGGGAATGATTGCCGCTGGTTGGCTGCTGATAATAAAAGTTTTAGAGAATATTTGGGACTTAAGATAATTTGACTTGATTTTTAAAAGTTTGTTATTTAAAAATAACCATAATAACATCATTACATGTTTACATAAGTAACACATTTTTATGAAAAATAACTATCTTCTAAAACAAAAAAAGAGTGAGAAGAGTAGCATAGTTTTACATTTTTACAAAGTTCTGTAATGTTTGCCTAAACAGAAGTTGGCAGAATACTTACTTCTGCTTCTGCATTCATTCTGTTGCAATATCATAGGTCATATAGCCTCAGGAGAACTCATCTATAAACTTAAGAGATAATGAGGATAAAAAGGCAAATACCATTGTGGTATAATAATGAAAATAAGAAAGGGCTTCAGTTCCCCATCCATACTTTGCAGATTATTGTTATATACCATTCATGGGCTGTTGGATCCGCTGGAATTTGCACATGTTCAATCAACTCTTTTTCTTTGTTTTGTTGCAGAGTCCTTTGGGCAGAATTATCCAGAGGTAAGAGTGCAGTATTGTGATTTTATGAACATTATAACTCACTAGCATTTATGTTTGAGTGGAAAATACATTTTGATCCTTTTTTTTTTTTTTGACAACAGAAGCATTAAATGTAATGATACATCTTTTACTATAATAAGGAACAGAATGTTCAGTTTTGAGGGTGGGGGAAGATAGGCAATATTGCCTGAAAATCTCACCATAATGTAAATCATGTAAATTTTACAGTTCATCTCCCTTTAAAATAAAAAAAAAAGACTCAATTAAAGGATCACAGACAATGCCATTGCCTGTATATAGATTTTTTCTAGTTTTGATTAATACTTTTACATAGTAATAAATCAATATATATGTTATAGGTGTGCTTTACTTTTTAAAATATAAAAATGTTTTATAATACATGGAATACAAAGTCTGTGCAGAAGATATCCAGGCATGTAATATGAAAAATAGAGACATTTATTGAAGAAGACACAAGATACAAGAAACATTGGACATAGGACGATGTACAGTCCCTTTCAAAGCAGGCACCTTGGGACCTCATGTAGTTCTCCCAGTTGCCATCAGCTTCGCTGTTGTGTTTTCGTGAATCACATGATGGTTGGAAATCTCTTCCCTTTCAAAGATGATTTTGGTTTTGAGAAAAGTTACAAGTCACAGGATGCCAAATCTGGGCTGTACAGGGTCTGTACAGGGTCGGTACACTCACTGGGGAGATTTGATGTTTCACCAAAAAACTCTGCAATAAGACATGAGACATGATGCATGAGCTTGGGTGTTGTGATGAAGCTGCCGATCACCGGTTGCTGATAGCTGCGGTCTTCTGAATCACCCTTTCCGCGAAGGAATGTGCAAACGTAACACAAAATTTGATGCAGATTTGTTGCTCTTCTCACTCAATTGTTTTTACTGCAACAGCCACACAGTGCACGTGCTCACTCAACGGCATCTACTGCCCCCACTGACAAGTACAGTGAGATTGTCATTGTTTATGCATGTGCATTCCAGTCCCACTCTCCTTGGCTGCCAGGTTACATTAATGTCACACAAACCATTCTCATAATATTAACAATGGTTGAACTTTTTCCAGACAGACCTTGTATGTTTCAGTTAAGTGGATTGATATTAATATAAAATAATTTACTTGGCTTTTCTAATATTATATAGGCTGTTCTAGGGTTTTTTGTTTTAAATTATTTTTCTTGGGATAAATTTCAGAAAATATGACTACTGGGTCAGTAGGATGACGCTTACTGAGTCATGTTATATTTGGCCTAATTGACCTCCAGAGTGTGTACAAAGTTACAGTGGTAACGTAAGGGAGCGATCATATCTATTTCCAAAAATTTTGTTAACATTTATAAATATTTTCATTTTGACTAGTTTCATAGGTATAAGAACATACATAGAGATTATTTTGGTGTATGTCATGATTTAAATTAAAAAGAAGTGTCATAGATGGTAGAGAATCTTTAAAAAATAATTTGGAGCCCTGGCCAGTGTGGCTCAGTTGGTTGGAGCATTGTCCAGTAAACTGAAAGGTTGTGGGTTCAGCTCCTGGTCAGGGCACGTGCCTGGGTTGCGGGTTCGGTCCCTGGTTGGGACATACACAAGAGGCACCCGTTCGATGTTTCTCTTCCTCTCGCACTCCTTTCCATTCTCTCTCAAATCAATAAGCATGTCTTTGGGTGAAGATAAAAATAAAGAAAAAAATAAAAGGTGAATTTTATTTAAAAATTAGTAATCGTTTGGATACCTGGGTATTATTGTATATATTCTTGTGTTCATTTTAATTTTTAGGAAGCTGATGGAACTTTGGATTGTATCAGCATGGCCCTGACTTGCACCTTTAACAGATGGGGAACGTTGCTCGCAGTTGGCTGTAATGATGGCCGAATTGTCATCTGGGATTTTTTGACAAGAGGCATTGCTAAAATAATCAGTGCACACATCCATCCAGTCTGTTCTTTATGGTAAGAAATTTTAATGTTAATACGTTTAATGTGAGTTAAAGTAGGGGGATGAATGGTGACTGTGCAGTTGGCACTCTCATTGAAGATATTTTAATATGTAGAGTATAAAATATCCAGCCGTTAGTAATGTACTTGCTCATAGCTTATATAGACCCCGAACCCATGCTGTCCTCAAAGCTCCTTTGTGATGAGAAATTTAGTGTAATAATGGATCTGTATCGGGCTCTGTCTGATAATATTTCAGTGCTGAACAGACACCTACTAATTGTAGCTGTAGTAGTATTTGTGATAATGACGTTTTATTTAAAATAAAAAATCTTGGTTAGAAGAGAAGCTTGGAAGTCATCTAGCCCAGCCTTGTCCAGGTTCTTGAATTCTAGCAATTGTAGTGATCACAAGCATGTCCTTTTCTTCATTGAACTATATAGTTATTAAGGCTTTCTGTCAAATATTTGAGTAGAACATTGGTTTAATATAAATTCCCATTGATTTCTTTCTTACTATGTTAGGTGACTATTCAGAAAATTTATTTTGGGGCAGAACTTCTTTTAAATGAATTTGAGGCCAAAAAAAGCACCTAGTGAAATCTAGATTTACTGAATTGTAACATACTTCCTTTTGTCTAAAGAGAAGCAGCAGAGGTATTGTAAAGCACTGGGCTGGGAGGGGGCCTGAATGCCAGGCTAGGTTTGGCAACTGATGAACTGGTTGTGTTGGCCAAAACCTTTCTCTGATACACAAAATAGAGCACCAGCCAGGATGATCTCTTGAGTCCCTTCCAGTTCCTTTGCATTTCATTTATTTTTTATTTGTATTTTTACAATAAAGATTTAGATACATATATTTTTAACAGCTTTATTAAGACATAACTCACAAACTAATGTTAGAACTCCTGCCTATTAAAAAATATATTGTATAAACTAGCGTATAATCATTTATAAAATTATGGAAAATATAGCAAAGTAGAAAGAACTGATATCTCCCATAGTTCCATCACCCAGATATTACTACTGTAAAATTTTTGATAGGTTTCTGTATATAGATTTTAAAAAGCAAAATTTGTAATTGTGCTGTATTTTTTTTTTTAATGGAAAAGTTAAAAATGTAGTTTACTGAAAGGTGTGTTTGCAAAGAGAAATAGCACTAATAATCCAATCTAGAAGTTTAAAAGTATTACTTATTTATTTTTAGAGCAACGGGAATAGGAAGAAAGAGAGGGCGAGAAATATCAATGTGTGGTTGCCTCTCATGCAACCCCAGCTGGGGACGTGGCCTGCAACCCCAAGCATGTGCCCTGACTGGGAATTGAACCGGCGACCTTTTGCTTTGCAGTCCTGGCGCTCAATCCACTGAGCCACACCAGCCAGGGCTCATTCTAGAAGTTTAAATGAAAGTAGATAATTTAGCCCTGGGTGGTGTGACTCAGGGGATTGAGCACTGGCCTGCAAACCAAAGGGTCTCAGGTTCGATTCCTAGTATAGAGCATATGCCTGGGTTGCAGGCCAGGTCCCCAGTAGGGGGCGCGTGAGATGCAACCACACATTGATGTTTCCCTCTCTTTCTCCCTCTCTTCCCCTCTCTAAAAATAAGTAAATAAAATCTTTAAAAAGAAAAGTAGATGATTTAAAACTAACAATATATATAAAGCTGGAGTTACTGCCTTGGATAATTTTCTTTATACACTGTATCCAATATTTTACATGGACATTCATTCTTAAGGGAGAAAAATTGAATTTGACATGTTAATGACTTGGCTCTTACATCCAAAGGATGTAAACTAGGAGTAGACTTGAGCAGACAGATTCCTTGCTATCTATGGTGACAAGTCCATCTGTAGAGTTATGTAACAGACATACATCTGAGAGAACAGAAAAAGATGAGTTTTAAAATATACAAATGTGATTTTTAAACAAGAGGTCAATGAGACTACCCTTTCTATTATGAGGTGAAACTACTCCCATAACTGACTGACAAACTCAACATACCATTTCTGATATGGTACATAAAGTGTTTGAAGTATCAAAGAATTATCTTTTTGAAGTGTGTTACTTTATAGACTAGTTTTCAAGGTCTAGTATAAAAGGTGGCCTGAATAGTTAAAAGCAGCTGAATGTCAACTCATCCTGCTGCTCAGAAGGCTACCATTTAGGATATTCCTACCCCATCAACAAAATCCTGTGCTGGTTAAGTACTTTTTTGTGTGCCTATTATTTATGCCATAACTCTGGCAATTGTCAGAAGCGTACCAAGATTACCTGCCTAATATTTAAAGACATAAAGATTTTCTTTCATGGTGGCAGGAGTCCATGCAAGATTTGTAAACAGCAATACAAAATACTGTAAACATAACTTAACAGAGCTTGTATAAAACAGAAGTAGTAAACCCAAATTAACAAGTGGGTTAAAAAAACCCAAGGGCAGCTTCATACAAAGTTCTCCCTCCTGTGCTAAGTAATTTGACTACAAATAAAATTCTGAGCTGATAAATCTAGGATTTGGGGGAGAGCCGTCTTTGCACACAAAATATCCAAAGAATGCTTATCTTTTACTTTTCTCTAGTGATACTCAGCTGCCAGAGACAGTTCTGTCTATGTGACCTTGGAGACAATTACAGTGTAGTGTAGTGTCTGGGCCCAGAGCCTGCGGCCCTCTTGGCCATGGCAGCCATTGAAAAAGCATCCCCTGCCTCCTGCAGGTCATCCTGGAGCTCCTGGCTCGCGCTGGACTTCAGGGCTGCAGGGGTGAGCCACTCCTTTGGGAGGCAGCTCTGTAGGAAGGGGATATAGAAGCTGAAGTAGGCACATCGATTGATCCAGTGAGGAAGCTCTTTCCCACAAAGAGTCTCTGATAAAGCTGAAGGAAAATGATTGTAGTTTTTGTGCTTTAAATGATGGGCATTGCCTTTGTATTTTTTTCCCAGTTCTTCTATAATTTCTGTATCATCTTCTAGGAAGTCAGTGCTCCCTAAAACAATAGCTTCTTCAAATCTAAATGTTTCTCCTAGTTCAGAAGTATTTACTGGGGAAATTTTGCATATTCCAGAAGAGGAGTAAGGATGGGCACCGTAAGCAAATTCTCTGCCATATACTTTAGTTCCTGAATGCAAAACTCCAAATCCAAAGGATTAGGTGTACTTGTTCATCCATTACATGTCATACACTTTGAGCCTCACTAACCGGTTAACCCCCATCCTCCTCCCTGCCACCACCACTGTCTCATCCCAGGCTGCTCCCATTTCCATGGACGCATCAGGGGGCCAGAGCCGGGCACTAAGCGCACAGCCTGGCCCGCGCCAGCTGGCACGTGACCATCGGGAAGCTGGGTGGCTCCAGGGTGCCGCTGACAGGACTCTGCGCCGTCAGGGCTTACCGGTGGTGGACCCGCTTGGGCTCCGGCACCACTCCTTGGTGTATTTTTTTTTTTTTTTTACCATATACTACTGTAGACTTTAATTTTTCTTCAACCTGAAACATCTTGATTTTCTTTTTTCCTTTTTTTAGGTATATTTTATTGATTATACTATTACAGTCATCCCAATTTTCTCCCCCTCTGCCCCACTCTGCATGGTATGCCCCCCTTCCCTCCAGCAGTCCTTCCCCTTAGTTCACGTCCATTGATTGTATGTGTAAGTTCTTTGGCTTCTCCGTTTCCTATGCTGTTCTTAACTTCCCTGTCTGCATTCTTCCTACCAATTATGCTTCTTAATTATGTACCTTTTCCCCATTCTCCCTCTTCCCCCTCCCAGATGATAATACTCCAAATGATCTCCATATCTATGATTCTGTTCCTGGTCTGGTGGTTTGCTTAGTTTGTTTTTAGAATCAGTTGATGAAAGTTCTGAATTTGTTGCCTTTTTAATATTTGTGGTTTTGATCTTTTTCTTTTTTAAAGATTTTATTTGTTTTTAGACAGAGGGTAAGGGAGGGAGAAAGAAAGGAAGAGAAACATCAGTATATGGTTGCCTGTCATGCAGCCCCTACTGGGGACCTGGCCCACAATCCAGGCATGTGCCCTGACTGGGAATCGAACCAGTGACCCTTTGGTTCCTCATTCCACTGAGCTACACCATCCAGGTTTTGTTTCTTCTTTTTGTTCGGGTTGAATGCTTATCTTTTCCTTACATTCCAAATCAGTTTAAATCCCAGCTTCACGTGGATTATTCTTTATTTCACATAGTGTAACCTTCATTTCTTCTTTTATTTTTTTGCTGTACTCAAGTTCTCTGAGCATCCTGATAACCAGCGTTTTGAACTCTGCATCTGATAGGTTGGCTCTCTCAATTTTGCTTAGTTCTTTTTCTAGAGGTTTGTTCTGTTCTTTTACCTGGGCCATATTTCTTTGTCTCTTCAATTTTGCAGTCTCCCTGTGTTTGTTTCTGTATATTAGGTGAACCCCAGAGTGGATGGTTTTGTGTACATTCTAAGACCATGCTGGACTTTTAAGGTGAAAATCCAGCAGTTTCTTCTGCTGCCCCAACCCCTACTAGTTTCTGTAGCCAGAGGTAATGGGTCTAACCGGTGCTGGAACCCTGGGCTGTGTGGCCCGGCCTGGGGCTGGGATCACTGGCTCCCAGGGCATCCCTCCCGTCAGCTCCGTCACCGTGGCCACACTTCATGCTGTGCTGCCTCTCTTCCTATCTCTGCAACTCTGCCCCCTCACCTCTCTGGATGAATGTGTGTTCTTTAAGTCCTTGGCTGTTGGACTTGCATACAGCTCGATTTTCTGACAGTTCTGGGTGTTACTAGTTTTGAGATCTGGTTGTAATTCTTTCTATGGTTGCATGAGGAGGTGAAGCGTGTCTACCTACACATCCACCTTGGCTGGAAGCCCCCTGTATTCTATTTTATATTTGACTTTTTTACCTTCCCGTCACTGTCCAGGCATTTTCCTGCTTTCATAGCCATTAACAAAATTTTTATGGCTATATATTGGTGGGCAAAAGTAGGGTTATATTTGTTTATATGGAAAATAATACAATAATTAATACAAGAATAAATTCTTTGTTTTGTGTACTCACATATGTAAACCTACTTTTGCACACCCCTGTGTATCTTCTGAAAGATAAGCCATAATTTACTTGACCATTTTTGTTTGTTTCTTTGTTTCATAATATTTAGTGGATGGCTTTGTGCATAAAGTTTTTCTCTCATATATTAATTTGGCAAGCATTGAATATGAATTATGTGCCAGGTGCTGTAGGCATTGGGCACACAGAACAAGGAGAACTAGATTAGTAGGGGAGGTGTATGTGCATACTGGTACATCACTGAAGCTTTATAGGTCCAATACAAGAGCTGTATTTGAGATTTAGTGGAGTATGTGTGTGTAATACATAGCATATATGCATTATAATTATTTAACTGTTCCCTAATTTATGTATAAGTCTTAAAGACCATTTATTTACTTATTATAAACTTACACAGTATAGTTATAATTGGTAGTTACATGCATTTTTATGTTCTTCTTTGATCAGCCTTATTTAAAATATAACTTTATTTAATACGTTGTGTAATGTTGGACCATATTAGGAACTAAGAAAGTTTCACTAAGAGAAGTTTTGGGTAGACACGATAGCCATTTTCAACTACTAAAGAGCTGACATGTACAGGACAGAAAAATTGGCCCAAGGAGTAGAAGCAGGACTAGTAGCTAACAAACAGAAGTTACAGGGAAACAAACGTTAACTTAGAATAAAGAAGAGTTCCTAAGCCGAGGTGTCTGTGGATGGGATGGACTGCACCGGAAGTCATTTATCAGCAGGACTGCCCCTGCTTGGGCTTGCTGCCGTCTGCTTGGGTGCGCTACCTAAGGCATTCAGCACGGGGTGGGGGCCATAGGAGGGACTAAATGGTCTTCCAGACTAAGACATTAGGCTTAGTGAAGACTCATCTGTCTTTTGCAAAGAAATTTGGAATCAAAGAATTATTAATAGGGGAACACCTCTTAGTTTTTACCTTTGTTTAATAATTGAGTTTTTAAAATTAGATGTTTCTATTATAATACAACCTTGCTATGAAAGAAAAAGATGTGCAAAAGCATTTAAATGAAAAAATGAAATCATAGCTAACATTATGTTCTTTAGTAAAGTTGTGCTAAAAGGCTTACAAGAACAGCAACAAAAGCTGCCCCTTGTTTCTAGCCACTCCTAATACCCTTTCATTCCTAATGGACTTCCAGTTTTTTGCCTGTTTCTTCTGATACTTCCATATTTTTAAATAACATACGTAAGTCACTTTTCTTGGTTTGTTTATTTCAGAAATTACCCGTAGACTTCCTGTTATAGTGTGAGCTTTAGCTCAGGCTCTTACCCTCCCATCATCTCCTGATAATTAGGTGGTCTGCTGGTTTTTTTGTTGTGAACCTTCAAGTTAGAGAATCTGTAGGCCTCTTCTTCATAAGTTCACATTCTCTAGGAGGAGTCTCTAATTGCTTTTCCCAGGGGTAAACATGACTGCACGTGCAGTCCTATTGTAATTAGACTTGAACTTAATCCTTCAGTATTCACTTCCTCATTTTACCCCTGCTTTCCTCTTTCCCTCAGGTCCTGAGTCTGGGAATACATTTATCTTGTCTTTGATTCAAATAATTGCTAATGTTTTTTGAACACACATTATTGTCAAGCAGTGGGCTAAGAGTTTTATATGTATTAATTTTAATTCTCTCAAGAGTTTTCTGTGGGTAGTAATTGTTATTGTTTCCATGTTAAAGGTGAGGAAATTGAAGTTTAGAAAGGTTCTATAACTTGCCAAAGATCAAACAGCTTTTAGAAAATGGTTATGTCCAGGCATAAGTCTAACTCTTGAGCCTATGTTCTTAACCATAGAGGTATACAGCCTGCTAAGTCCTTAATAATAACTTCTCTTTGTTGCAAAATTTGGATAAATACTGGTTTGGGGTTTGTTTGTTTGTTTCTTCTCTTTTTCACTTTTTCTTGCCTTCCTATGGGTTTCTTGGACATTTGTTAGAATTCCGTTTTGATTTATCTGTAGTATTTTTGAGGGTATTTCCTTTGCTTTTTAGTGGTTACTAGGTATTATATATACATAACTTATCACCTCTACTGGTGTTGACATTGTACCAGTTCAAGTGAAGTATAAAGAAACCTTACCTTCATTTATCCTCCTTAGTTTGTAATACGACTGTCTTAAATGTTTCCTCTATATACATTGCTATCCAAATAAGACAGTATTGTAATTTTTGCCTCATGTCAAAACTCAAGAAGAGAAAAAATTCTCTATTTACTGATATTTTTATTCTTTTCATTGTTCTTTCTTCCTGATGTTCTAAGAGTTCTTCTTTTATCATTTCCTTTCTGTTTAGAGAACTTAATTGAACCATTCTTTTAGGGTTGATCTGCTGGTGAAAAATGTCTTGATTTACCTCTTTGTACCTGAAGGATATTTTCACTGGATATAGAATATGGGTTGACAATTATTTTCTTTCATCACTTGAAAAATGTGTCACTTCCTTCTGACCTTCAGGGTTTCTGATGAGAAATCTGTTGTGTGAATTGCTCCCCGTAGGTACAGTGTCGTTTTCCTCTTAATGCTTTCAAGACTTTTTACTTTGTCCTCCGTTTTCAGAGGTTTGTCTCTGTGTCTTGGAGTGGATTTCTTTGAGCTCACCCTGTTTGATGTTCATTCAGCTTCTTGAATCAGTAGGTTTTAAATCTTTTGCCAGGTTCGGGAAATTTTCGGCCATTATGTCTTCAAATACTTTGAAGCCCCACTCTTTTTTCTCTCCTTCCAGGACTCTAGTGATACAGCTTTAGATCTTCTATTCTAGTCTCACAGGTCCATAAGGCTCTGCTTATTTTTTTTCAGTCTGTTTTCTCTCTGTTGTTCAGATTGGAAAATTTTTACTTTATTTACTGATCCTTTCTTCTTTCTTTATTGGCTGCCGGATCCATCTCTAAGTTTATTTTAGTTATTTTAATTTTCAGTGCTAAAGTTCCCATTTCAGTTCTTCTTTCTCTACAGCTTGTATTTCTTTGCTAAGACTTTCTGGTTTTTTCATTTGTTTCAAGCCTTTTGGTTGCAATTGCTTATTAAAGCATTTTTATGATGGCTGCGTTTAAATCTTTGTCAGATAATTCTAACATCTGTGTCATCTCTTGTGTTAGTATCTGTTGATTGTCTTTTCTCATTCAAGTTGAAATTTTTTTTTGTTCTTGGGTTGATAATGACTTTCAGTTGAAACTCGGGCCTTTTGGATGTTGTGAAACTTTAGAGCTTATTTATTATTTAAATCTTGTGTTTTAGCAGGCCTCCTCTGATACTGCACCAGAGGGAAGGGAGGGCACCATCTTGTTATTGCCAGGTAGGTTAGAAACCAAGTTTCTCATTTGGCTGCATTAGGCTGGGTGAGTTTGGAAGTTTAGGCTTTCCACTGGGCCTCCTATGCTGGTAACGCCCTGGCTGGGTAGGATAGAACTGCCTTGTTTCTGTCCCCCACCTGGTCTCCACTAATACTGCTTTGGGGATCCTCATTACTGCCTGGTAGATATAAAAGTTGAGCTCTCCACTGAGCTTTCTCAGATACCAGTCAGGAGGGAAGGGTGCTTTGCTGTAACGGGGCAGTAGTGGAAGTCTAGACTCTCTATTTAGACCTTGTTGACTGGGGTTGCAGTTTTTTCTGCAGAGGTTGCTGGACCAGAGTGATTGTTGTCTACATATTTTCTGTCTCTCTGGTTTATCTTTTCCTGGTCCTTTGGCTAGAGAAAGTAGGCTCTTCAGCTTTTGTATGTGTGCGGCCATTGATATTACTGTGTTGTTGGCTTCTCTTTCACCTGGTCCAGGACATTTGGGTCATAGGAGGCAAAAAGAACATCCAAGGCACTATTGTGTCATTTCTTTTATCCTGCATTCTCTAGCCAGTTGTCTCTCTTTGCCTTTCAGAGTGTTTTTCTGTTTGTTTATGTACAATGGCCAGGGTGCTTAGCTATAGTTAGCAGGAGGAATTAATTCCTTTCTTATTTTAAATAACAGATAATTATCTTTATTATTTTATGTTCTGAGGAACAATCTCAGAAAGCTCAGATACTCCCTCCCCATCTCCAAGAAAAAAAAACGTGTTTTTTGTTATATCAATACTTAAGGGCTCACTGTTTGAGCCCTTTAAACTCTAAAATGTTTTAATGTTTTAATATGTGCTTTCACAGAGCGACTTACAGTGTTATCTTGAACTATTAAGAGCTTCTGGTACTAGATATGAAAATGTCATAAAAACATTCGTATTTATTGCTTAGTTGGGAAAGCAGGTTGTGGATTTGAGCATATGTTTTAAGAAAGAAATAGTATTGGCCCATGTAATTAGGGCAGTATTTGTGACTTGTGCATTTTGTCTGTAGGAGTGGTATGATGCACTTTACCTTGGAATATGTGCTAAGTTACCCATTTCTCCTTCTCAGCTGGAGTCGAGATGGTCATAAGCTCGTGAGCGCCTCTACGGATAACATAGTGTCACAGTGGGATGTCCTTTCAGGCGACTGCGACCAGAGGTTTCGGTTCCCTTCACCCATCTTAAAAGTCCAGTATCATCCACGAGATCAGTATGTTTAATCTGAGCTGTTCTTTCCTGGGGTGGGGTCTGACTGTGTACGGATTAGCTCCAGGCTCATATAATTTCAGTTTAAGGTTTTAGGAGGCAAATGCACACATTTCTTTAAACCTTCCACATACAAAATCTTTTTGTCTAGGTTGGCTCTACTGAATAGATTTTAAGGAGAGTGTTATATAATTAAAATCTGTCCAAAATTAGAACTTTGAAAATGGGCAAAGGTAGGAAAAAGTATGATAACTAGTTCTTGACCTGACCCTTCCCCCATTATTTGAAATTTTTAGTAGGGGAAATCGTTCAGTATTAAAACTACATTTAAGAGTTATCCATCATTCCATTACCCAGACATAACTGCATTTCTCTAGATTCTCTTTTAGGCAAGTTCTCTTTACATACAAAGATCGGTATATAATGCTCTATAGCTCACAGAGCATGGATATGCATGTTAATGCACATAAATATGTATTTTTTACATGGCTCTAATCAGTATCTTCTTTATTTTTTTATTTCATACATATTTTACTATTTTATTACAGTTTTATTTTTAATGATTACATTTTGTCAAGGTACAATAGTATTCCATAACTTTACTCAGTCATTTCCCTCTTAGTAGCCATTTAGATTTTTGGGTCTCCCCCTCCCCCACCGCCATATTCATTTTGCTTGGGCTGGAAGAGTTGGTGAGGGTAGTGTATAGGAACCAGGGAAAATGGCAAGGGAATCAGCCTACCGATATCAAAGCAACGGCCAATGTACTATTCATATTTTTAAACAGGAACAAGGTTCTCGTGTGTCCCATGAAATCTGCTCCTGTCATGTTGACCCTTTCAGATTCCAAACATGTTGTTCTGCCGGTAGATGATGACTCCGACTTGAATGTGGTTGCCTCTTTTGATAGGCGAGGGGAATATATCTATACAGGAAATGCAAAAGGCAAGGTAAGCCTAGAAGCCCGTGAAATATGCCCTAGTCACTCTGTGCTTTGGTTTATTTTTATATATACTTGTGCTACTTCCTTTGACATTTCTTTTACCCCTGCACTAAGCATGCCTCCTGCCTATGGCAAATGTAGTTATTTTTCTCTCATGCTTAGTAATTTCTGTCTTTTGGGTTTAGAGTGGTTAGAGAGTGTGTTGCCTAATAAACGATGGAAGGTCCTTTACTGAATGCTGCTAATGAAGAGCCATTACTGAATTGTAAAATTGAAAAGTCATTATAAAATAGAATACTGCTGATGAAAATACCTAGTTCTGTAAATATTGTATAATTCAGGCCAGTTTAACTTACAGTTTTGCAGAGTAAGAAGTCAGGTTAGGTGAGCATTAAGGTCCCTTTTAAACTTAGAGTTTATAGTTTCATTAGGTACCTTTTTAAACATTTTTTTAACTAGGGCACATGGGCTAGTATAATTTTATGGCTACTTTAGAAAGTGATAATTTAAAAAAATCATAGTAAAAACCATAAAATACAGATAACATAAAACTTACCACCTTAACTATTAAGCACATATAGGTCATTGGTATGATGTACATTCACATTGTTCTGCAGCCATCTCTGAAACTTCGTCTTGCAAAACACGAAACGATAACTCCTTATTCCCTGCCCCCGTCACCTGCCTTGGGCAGCTGTCCTCCTTTTTCCTCTATGAATCTGGCTACTCGAGGTACCTCACATAAGTGGATTTGTACAGTATTTGTCTTTTTATGAATTGGCTTATTTCATTTAGGGTAATGTCCTTAAGATTCATCCACGCACTGCATGTGCCAGAATTCCCTCCTTTGCAGGGCTGAATAATATTCTGTTGTATGCGTGTACTACATTTTGTTTATTCATTCATTTTTTTTTTGATATTGGGAATAACACTAAACATATTTCTAGAATAGATTAAGACACTATCCTTTATTTGAAGAGGTAAAAGGCAATACCAGTTAATCAGATTGAATGCTTTGGGAATAAAATGTTTTTATTCTTACCCAGTCTTTGCCCAGTTTTAGAAACAGAAGCCAGATCTAAGGATACTTATTTTTTACTTTTTTTTTTTAAACTCTAGATTTTGGTCCTAAAAACAGATTCTCAGGATCTTGTTGCTTCCTTCAGAGTAACAACTGGAACAAGCAATACCACAGCCATCAAGTCAATAGAGTTTGCTCGGAAGGGGAGGTGAGACCTTGTCCTTTTAGAGGAAGTTTTAAAATTGAGTGGAATGCAAAAATACACCAAGATTCACAGTGTTTGTGTGTATTATACTTCACAAATTTTTAAGGTTTACTTAAAAAATAGTTAATAGAAACTGTCAGTATCTGGTTCTTAAGTTCATAAAATGTATTACATTGAACCAGCATTCACATCTTCTTTGACCGGAAGTTATCAAGCAATTTCCTTTACAGAAAAGATACGTGATGATACATGCTTAGAACCAAAAATCCTGGCACGTGGTTAGGAGTGGGTAAAGATACTGTTATAATCAAAATTGATGTCACAGAATTCACATAGTAACTGAACATATACTTTACTTACATAAAGCCTATTTATCCCTGTAGTTTCAGGTGTTTTTCTGGTAAGTTTGGTTACCCAATTAGAAGGAGATATATCAGCAAAAACAAGAAGAAATAGGTTGTCAGTAGAAGAGGTAACAGTCATCCTGTTTCATACAGGAACCCCCGTATGTGCGTAGGGGACATTCATGTTCAAAATTCTCTTAATTAAGGAAAGGTTAGTGCAGTCTGAAAGAAGGCATGAAATGGTGTATTTTAACAGGTTTCTAATGTAATTACAGTAAAAGAAAAAGGAACATCTTAAATTGAAATAGTTTATGAATTCATTAAAAAGACTATCTTGTATATAAAACGGGCCAGAGAAATGAAGTATTTATATACATTTAACTGTACCCTTGAGAATTCAGCAAGCTGGTTTCAGTTTACAGATCTTGGATCTCAAATACTGGTGATTAGTTTGTTGGTTTGCACGTACAAGGTTCAAGTATACACAGGAAGTATATAACGTATTCTCACTTCAAATTTAATTTTGGTGTGGGAGGTGGCAAGTAGATGCGTAAGTATTCCGGGTTCATTACTTTGATCTTTGCTCAGTCTCTCCCCAGTTTATTAGTTCTGTCATGGTACTGTTTTAAGTAACAGGTTGTAATAGAAAATATTAATGGAAACAGATTCCTGAACTCTGGCATTGACATTTTTCTCTTTTCTGTAGTTGCTTTTTAATTAACACAGCAGATCGAATAATCAGGGTTTATGATGGCAGAGAAATCTTAACCTGTGGAAGAGATGGGGAGCCTGAACCTATGCAGAAATTACAGGACTTGGTAAATAGGTATGTGTCACAGCCTAGAAGACCGTGTGATAATCCATGACCTGGGCTCCAGTTCTAGTTTGCCTTGGGCTCTTTCTTTGTCCTTTAGGACCCCGTGGAAGAAATGCTGTTTCTCTGGGGATGGGGAATACATAGTGGCAGGCTCAGCCCGGCAGCACGCCCTGTACATCTGGGAGAAGAGCATAGGCAACCTGGTGAAGATCCTCCACGGGACGAGAGGAGAACTCCTGCTGGATGTAGCTGTGAGTAGAGTGAGAGGCTGCTGTTGTTACCTGTGTAATACAGGAAAACCATGGGTTCGTTTTAGAACTGATTGTTCTTTCCTCCATTAAATTTAGTGGCATCCTGTTCGACCCATCATAGCATCCATTTCTAGTGGAGTGGTATCTATCTGGGCACAAAATCAAGTAGTAAGTATTTGTCTGGTTTAACTGCTTTGAAACTAGAAACCTTTCTTTTTTTCAAAGAATTTTACAAATAGTAAGCTAAAAATTACCTTACTTTTTTTGGATATGATTTTGATAACCTAATTAAATAGGCTCAGTGTATCTAGCTGTGCTTTATTTTGATGGGACGGTCTTGGGCCATAGCCAACTCACAGTGGACTTTGTGTTACATCTTTCTGTTTCTTAGCTGAGAAAGGTTTTTATTTTGCTTTTGTATTTTCAGCTCAGTTTATGTTTTATATCTTCATTTTGTTTTGAACACCTTTAACTATATTTGTAATCAGTGTACTCATAAAAATCAGTCACGTATATAAAGGATTTGAAGATGTAGTACCCTAGAATTTCCTTTACTTAAAGGAAATTAAAAACAGTATTTGTTAACACCTTGGAGAATGGTTAATTAGCAGCCTAGAAAATGTATGGAACTCTGATCATTTTGCCTTTTTTGCCCTTCGGGGCAGAACTGAGAAAGTATGGGGTGCAGGTTTGGGGTTTGGATTATTGCTTCCATGAAGAAGAGTAAGTTGGAGTCAGAGTTGGTTTTACCTCAGAGTTACATCTTAAAAAGATTAAAGATGGCAAATTTTTGTGAAAGAACAATAGTTAATAATAACTTGGAATGTTTAAATTAGGAAATATCTTAACATAGTAAAACCTATAGATAATTTTTATTATCCACCAAATTTAATCTCAGAGTTCTAAGTAGCTTTCATGTTCATGTCTTTCATTTATGTCATTAATGTCTAGATTACAGGCTTTCGCTGTCTTAAATGGTTACGTAGTATATTTTGTTTGTGGTGTAGGAAAATTGGAGTGCCTTTGCACCAGACTTCAAAGAATTGGATGAAAATGTAGAATATGAGGAAAGGGAATCAGAGTTTGATATTGAAGATGAAGATAAGAGTGAGCCGGAGCAGACAGGTAATATTGCTTAATTGCAAACAGTGTTTCCAAAAGGAAAAATGATTGCTTTATTTGTTCTTAATTTGGGATGAAAATTTACTTCATCACAGTCAAAATGTCACTTTTTTAATTGATTAAGGGCTCACATGGGCATTATTACTAAGGTTCAACAGATCTCTTAACATTTTACTTTATATTTCCTGATAAACTATAGATGATTACATGAGGATTTACCAGTAGTGCTTAGCAAAGCTCCCACACAGACTGGGTGCTCAGCTGTATCATGTATTGTCACTCTTTTGTCAGTAAGGTGACAGGAAAGAGTATGGGCTCTAGAGTCATACTGTCTTGGGAAAAATACTTTTTAAAGCTGAATGTCCTTATCTGTGTAATAGTGGCTACAATAGAACCTTCCTTTTAGGCTTGTGGGGAATAAATGAGCTACTTCACTTGAAGCACTCAGTATAGTGCCCAGGTGTAACAGGCATTCTGATGTTAATTTCTATTCTGTTCATGATCTTTGGTATTTTTATCTCATCGATATTTTCTCTCAATGAGACTCCTTGAGAATGAAGATTTGACTTTTTACCTCCATTGTGTCTGTCTAACACATGGCTTTATGTCTAGTAGAGGTTTGCGTGTGTGAATGCTTAGTCTCACCACTTAGCACTGTCAGTGAATAATCAATGCCACAGATCAGCCTGATGGTGCGGGAATTAGGTCCTTGTTTTGTCATACTAGATAACTTACAAGCCTCTAAGGTGGTTTTAGGAGGGCCACCAGGGGTGCGGCCTGTGCTGGACTGTATTGGTATTATTGGATTATGTTCTGTGAAGCCTTCCCAGACTTTCCCATAAGCTGTTCCTCATTCCCATCCACTTAGTACATGGAACATATCTTTACTGTAGCACCTGTTAAATTGAAATGATCCGTTAATGTCTGTCTTCTCAATTAGTCTATGACGCTTTTACTGAAGAACTGTTCCCAGCTTTCTTGGTCATCGCTGTAGTCCCAGTGTCTAGCACGTGGTGGACATTTAGCACGTATTTGTGGAATGATTACGTAAAATGAACTGTCTGGTTTTCCTCCTCTGTTTCTTCTGAATTTCAGCTTATGAAAATCATTGAGCTAGAAGTAAAAGGCTGTTTTGCACTTTTCACCCCCCTGCTGTGTTTCTGTGCTGCAGGGGCTGATGCCGCTGAGGATGAGGAAGTCGATGTCACCAGTGTGGATCCTATTGCTGCTTTTTGTAGCAGGTGAGCCACAGGACTTGGCCTTGGATGCTCCTCCTCTTCCTCCTCCTTGTTGCTAGTGTTGTATGTCTCAGTTTCCCACGGCTGGCCCTTCAGTCCCGTCTGCTTATTAGATCCGAGAGCCAGCTGCTTTGTTGTACAAGAAATCCCTTTCTTTCTCCCCTGATAGAAAATCTTAAACTGAAATAATTCATTTATACTGTTTAATTTTAGTACTGGTTTTGTTAATCATGTCATCTGATTTTCTTTCATTCACATTGGCTTTCTTAAAGCTCTAGATCCATACCTGTTGCTTATGGTTAATATAGGTGATTCTGTCCTAGAGGAAGGGCTATTGTTTTAAGCAACTGTTTCCTCTCTTTTTCCAATCCCTTGTCTGATCTTATTCCAAATAGTGATGAAGAGCTGGAAGATTCAAAGGCTCTATTGTATTTACCCATTGCCCCTGAGGTAGAAGACCCAGAAGAAAACCCTTATGGCCCCCCACCTGACGCAGTCCAGACTTCCTTGATGGATGAAGGGGCCAGTTCAGAGAAGAAGAGGCAGTCTTCAGCAGATGGGGCCCAGCCACCTAAGAAGAAACCCAAAACAACCAATATAGAACTTCAAGGAGTACCAAATGATGGTAAGAGCCGCATCTCCTCTCTTTTGCCCAATAGACAGCACTTTTTATTCTCTAGCACAATCTGGTAATTTCCTGTTTCTTTGATTTACCTTCAGGGAATTTCCCCAGTTGTTTTTATAGCCCTTTACAACTTTGTACTGATTTCATGTACTTTCACTTTTCTTTCAAAATGGGGAGATTCTGCCCTCAGTACTTTGCCTAAGGTGACAGCACATTTTAAGTCTTCTGACACCTGGTTCAGAGTTTCTTTCTTTAGGCCACCCCCGACCCCCCAAGATTTTGTTAGGTGGTAAAGGACTGGTCAGACTTGGACAGTCTTTTCTTTCTTCCTCCTTACTTTTTATAGTCTGACACTGGAAGCCTTTATAATCACATATTTGAATCAGGACTTTTACCCGGGTCTCTAGTTTCCAAAGCGCGTTTCCTTTCTGTTCTCACATGGCATTGGGGATGTGCACTCCAGCTCTGCCTTGCTGTGGATAGTATCCGTGTCCTTCAGCTGCTTGTTCACTTCAGAGCTGCTGTGCCTTGGTACAGGCACATAGGCTGTGTGTGCCCTTTAGCCAACCGACTATTTGTCAATGACCATTCTTTTTATAGTTTAATAAATAATAAACAAAGCAAATTTTTCTCCTTGTATTAGTAGCTCTGGGACACAAGGGCAACACTCTGCTCGTGGATAGGGGACATGCCGTGTGCTTACCTGGATAATGGGAGTGGTAGTGTTTCCATGCCTATCTGTCCTTTTACAGAAGTCCATCCACTACTGGGTGTGAAGGGGGATGGCAAATCCAAGAAGAAGCAAGCAGGCCGGCCTAAAGGATCAAAAGGTAAAGAGAAAGATTCTCCATTTAAACCGAAACTCTACAAAGGGGACAGAGGTTTACCTCTGGAAGGATCAGCGAAGGGTAAAGTGCAGGCGGAACTCAGCCAGCCCTTGACAGGTAAGGACACATTGGGAGCGCTGTCTGGCTTGCTTTGTGGCCTTGCTTTGTACAGCCCCTGACAATGTTTACCTGTAGCATCTTTTCTTTCCTTCCCTCCTTTTTCCAAGTGGCGGATATTCTCCGAGTTTTAAGCTGCTGACAAGGGCAGGCTAAACCATATTGGCTGAATTTGGTGGCTCTCAACCTAAGGTCCCTAAATAGTTTTCAAGAAATCTACAGTCCATTGATATTTATGCAGAATATTGTGTGGGAAAGATGCCTATACCTAGAGTCCTAGCGGAATCCATGACCTGCAAAGGGATAACAACCCCTGGTTTAATTCATTCCTTCATCTGTATTTCCTCCTAGATATTTTGTTTTGCCTCAAATGAAAGAGCCACACAGATAACCACAACTATAAGCTTGCTTTATGTAGCCCCTGTCTGTTTAACTGTAGTATCTCTTCTCTCTCTCTCTCTTTCTTCAAATTATTCAAATCCCAGAGCTTTTTCTCTCTCCCAGTAGTCTAGAAGCAATAATGAAGTTGTTGGTAGTACTTTCATGTTAAGAGAGAAGATTGAAAAGATTATTCTAACAGGAGGAGATTACCAAAAAGACAGAAACTGCAGTGTCTGTGTAGCTTGTTAAAACCTAAGCCTTTTGAAACTTACTGAGTTTTCTGACTTTTATATGTTGAGGGATTTTTATTGGGAAATAGAAGAACAATTTTAATTTTCTATAAAATATTTGTGAACCTAGGAAGACTCCTTTTCTATTCCAGCATTGTTGGTTTCTGGAAACTTTCTGTTTTATGTAGAAGCAGTACTTTAGTTAATACTATACTCTCAGTTTTTTGCAGCTAGGTCAGTAGACTTAGAGGCCGGATTGATAAAATAGGTGGTTGTATTCAGTATTTTTCCCCTTTGCTTTAACATTTTAATGTAAATACGTCAATCCAAAAGTGGTGACGTGGGGCACTGAGTGTGAAACAGAATTCCTTGTTTATTCTGAAGTCAGTTTATCATTATGCACATGAATTCTCTTCTACAGAGAAGCTGAAGCAGACTCAGTTACTCATCATTTTGAGTATTCTGCTTCAAATTAGTTAGACTTCAGTTTTTCACAGTCCAACACGATACTACTGAGCACCCCATGTTTCCCAACAACAGTATTTATGGTGCTTCAGAGATGATCAGTTACAACCTCCACATTCAGTCACATAAGGCTCTGTTTGTATGTATTTAAAATAGTCTGAAAGAGTTATCTGGATATCACCAACAAAGACTGCAGATTAGTAAATGACTCATTAAATAAAAATAATTCTTTCATAACTCATTTCTTGCACAAACTGATGCTACTACAGAAGAAATACAGTTTAAAGTCTAAATAGATCTTCCTAGCCCAAAGTGCTGAAATGCTTCGGGGTGCTTTCAAATTGTGGCCAAACATCTTGAGTTAATTGAAATATCCTAGGACAGTCTCCTAGCTTCTTTAAAACCTGTCTGTAATTAATCATTTGCTTTGTAATAGTAAATGTACGGTAAATAAACCATTTAAAGCTTTCAAACCTCACTATTTTTTAAAAATTCAAAAGCTACTATTTTTCTCTATTTAGTACAGTGATTTCAGCTTTTAATTTTGGTTGATGTGGCCACTAACAGTAACTAAATATCTCTGGCATTTGCCAAGCTGGGTTTCTGTCAAGGATACCATGAGGTACTTTTAGGTTTTACAACTCAGAGCACAACAGCCGTGCTGTTTCTCAGCTGTGCTTCAAAACTGTCTGAAAGAGTAAAAACCAGCTCTGACTGGTGTGGCTCAATGGGTTGGGCATCATCCTGCAAACCAAAAGGTCACCAGTTTGATTCCCGGTTGGGGCACAATGCTTGGGTTGTGGGCCTGGTTAGAGGTGTGCTGGAGGCAACTGATTGATGTTTCTCTCTTTCTCTCTCTCTCCCTCCCTTCCCCCTCTCTGAAAATTAGTAAAGTCTTTGTTAAAAAATCAGTTCACGTGCTTGCCTCAGGAGCACATGTACTAAAATTGGAATAATACAGAGACTAGCATGGTCTCTGTGCAAGCATGACATGCACACACCCAAAATTAGTTCAGTCTGAGGATTATATTTGTAGGATTAAGGTTTAGTGTCCCTTCCCTCCCCTACAATGCTCTAGTTTTGCATTAGAGCTAAATTGTTTGAAGGCAGGATTATAGGTATAGGCTGTGTTACTTACTGCTCAAGTTATATAAATGACAACTGTATGTTAATATCTGCAATTGAGCAGTTACTGGAAAAACTGCAGTAAGCCCTGACAAAGCTGCTATAGTGTGTTTCATATTGCAACAGGACATTATGCAGGAAGATTGGAAGACACATAGACCACTATAGAAATAATCTGGCTATCTGGAATCTAGGGCTACAGAAGATTCTTTCCTATCAAACAGCTCAGCAGTATTGGATAGCACCTGTGGACCAACATCCATGAAGACACACTTTCTGTAATGAGGGAGGATCCGTCAGTGAAGCATGGTGAGGGTGACCCTGACCTTGGGGCTTTTTGGAAAGGCCAGATCAACATAGCACCTCTCAGGTTCCCCACAGTTACCTTATTGGATACCCTCCAGAGTGCAGTCCTCAGAGCAGAAACTTGAGGTGTGCGCAGAGCCACCAGTGTCCCTGTTGCCCCGTGACTGCTCGAGGATTGCCCGAGAACCTGGGCTCTTTGGCAGTCATCATCCGCAGCAGCCTGTGTGACAGAGTTGTGGTCTGCCAGCATACGTGAGACGGTGGGCATGAAGGGGGTGGTGTGCGCTGAGGCCTTGTGGGGCTGGCAAAGGCCCAAGTGAGCAGAGGCGCCGCTTCTGGGGGCGGGCAGGCCCCGGGAAGGTTCCCCGGCATTTGGCCCCCCACTGTCCTCCTGCTGCCGGACAGGTCTGCGGTTGTTTTGGATGCTTAGTATTGAGGGTTTTAATTTCCCTCTTCTTCCCTTTTTAAAAAATGATCGGTCAGTCAAGACTAGTTTATGAATTTCTGTTGAACTCAGACAACTATTTGCATATTCTTTTTTGTTTCTTTGTGATTTTATTAGCTGACCAAGATAATGTTTAAAAATCAGGATTTGGTATTTTCTAAGGCCACCCTGTCTTGGGTTGCTATTGGGAGGCACCAGTAGCAGCTGTTCATCATGAGGTGTTATGGTAGATTCTCTTTATATTACAGCTAAATAACACGTGTCCTTGGAGCAGACTAGCCGGGAGGCCTTCTGTTGTACTGCTGTGTCTGTGTATCTTTTCTCACTCGTTGTATGATTGTTCTGGTTTTGGTTTTTCTGTCGTGATTTAGGCTTAAAATGTCCATGTTGTAGTCATTTTTAAGCTGTTAAAACAAGATTGGTTAGAGTACCTAAAAGGACAGTCTGCAAAATTAACCATGAAGTGTTAAAGGCCTGATAGTGAATTCTGTGGTGTAGATTCTTCTGTCTCAAGATTTTTAAAAAATAAACTCAAAAGGTTAATTATGTTTTTTGAGAGCGATCTGCTTAACAGGTGCCTAATAAACTTTTTACCTCACTGAACTACATAAAGTTTAAATTTGATTTTTGACAATATAGCATCCATGAGAGTTTGTAATTTCAGGCTTGTTCTCAGGCAAATGGGAATATACTTTTATTGCCATTTTTCATTTTTGCTTTAATTTTTACTGTAAAATTCAGGTTAAAAGCAGAGTTTATAAATGGGTATTTTTCTTTTATAACTTGGGCAATTATTTTTTTAACCATTTTACCTTCAAGTGGCATGTTCTCTTCCATTCCCAATGATACCTGGGAGGATTTTCTTCACCTTGTTCTCTTTTTACACTTCCTAGTTAATATTTCACAGCAGCCCATCTAAGGATGTCCATCAGAGGTTGAACAGCTTCTATGGAATAATCAGGAAAGTGTTCATTTGATTTTATTATTGAGGATTTTATTTATTGATGAGTCGTTGGCACATAGAAATCCCAACACTAGTATTCATTAACATTTCATCATATTTGGAATTCTAAGGTGATGAGAATGTCACTGAAGGAACAGGGGTGCTTGGAAAAGGGTTTGTTCCTCACTGTTAATCATTTAGTGACTAATCAGCCTAATATATGAAAGATTGGAGATGTAGTACCTTAGAATTAATTTCCTTTACCTACTGCGCTATTTGTTAACACCTTGGAGAATGGTTAATTAGCAGCCTAGAAAATGTGTAGAACTCCGATGATTTCATCTTTTGTGCCCTTTGGGGCAGCACTGAGAAGGTATGGGGTGGAGGTTTGGGGTTTGGATTATTGCTTCAGTGAAGAAGAGTAACTGGGAGCTGGAGTTGGTTTTAACTTAGAGGGGGAGATTCTTAGCCCATGTGTACTTGTCATGCATCATCCAGCATCCATCAGTATTTCTGCTCTTGTAAGTAACAGGTTTAAGTTGATACTAAAAGAAACCTTTTTGTGTCTAATCTCTTTAGCAGGGGGAGCAATCTCTGAACTGTTATGAAGATCCTTGAAGTGCTTCGCTTTTTCCCACTTTTCCATCATGTGGCTTCTGGACACTGTTCAGTCCTTTGAAATTGACTTTAATTTAAAACAAATGCCTCTGCTTCACCCAGGAGGTGGAAGGAGTGAATTTTATGTTTGAATGAAGAAGTGAATTATGAAAGAAGAGTATACGTCCCTTCCCTTTCAAGCATAAGTCCAAATAGGCTCTCAGGAATGAGGATTTGTGAAGACATCAAACGGGAGTTAGACTCATTTAAACTTTAACACTGAGTCATGTTGCTGGAGAAAAGATACCTGTTTTGCTCATCTAATTTTATTGTACCCAGCATCATCATTTCCTGTCTCCTATCGGCTTTCTGTCCTCGGTGCATGTTCTTGAATAATTTGTTCTTATCTGAAAGTCTGCTACCAATATCTTTGGAAAACTTCTGTTGCATATTCTCCCATTTTGAAATTTACCCTCTCATCAGATACCCCCTATATTTCCATATTGTATACAAAGGATGGGTAAAAAGAAAGTGCTTGAAATATTTGAGATTTTCAGAAAGGAAAGGAAGGTAAGAAAGTCCCCCTTTTCCTAATACACCCTGTTTTGCTCAAGCTGGGCTGTAAGAGGGGTTTTTGTTTTCCTTTCACTGCACGTTTCCCTCCAGTATTGGTTCATTCTCATTAATCATGGTTTTTTGAAGGTAGCTCGTTTCATCCGTCTCCAGCAAAGAATCATCAGTAGTTTATATTGCATCGCCTGTGCTGGCTTCCACAGATGAAAACAAACCAAGCTGTCTCTCAGCACGTTTCTTTTATATGGGGGTAGGGGACTCTATGCAAGGACTAAAAAGTAAATCCGTCCAAAATCAAAGCAGCAACAACAGTTCAAATCACAGATGAAGGAACAAATTTTTTTTTTTATCATTGCTTGTGGATATCTGTCCTTCCGTCAGTCATTGCATTTTCCCCTTCTTGTATCCAAGCTCCTTTTCCTTATGACATGTTTCATTCACTTCCTTTCTGTGAAAGGTTGCTTAGCTTTTAAAATTTTTTTTTTTTTACATTTTGCTCTTGCTGTTCTTTTATATAAAAAGTAGATTGAATGGATGTGCACATTAGGTGTTTGAAATTCTCTGAAAGTCCAGAGTAAAGAAACCAAGTGTGGGGAGGGCTCACTAGTTGTCTGAGGAGAGCATTCGCTGACCAGAAGTGCTTAACCTGGATCATCATTTTCACAGTGTTTTCAGAGGAGAGTTTAAACTCTGCTTATTGTGAAATCTCTATCAGCTGGTGGGTGCTCCTGCAGGTAGCCAAACAGATTGCTTACCTTTTGGATTTTAGGATAGAAATCAAAACAACACATCAATAGGAGCCTCTTTCTCCTATTCCATCTTTTAGAACAAAACAGTAATTGAACTCTTCTTGAGTCAGTCACAACATATCTATATTTTTAGATGCCACTATTTTTTTCTCAAATGCTTGTTTTGTGAATTTCACTTCCTATTTCATCTCACATCAGTGCTTGAGATTAATAGGGGGCTCACTAACATATTTTCATTTGCAAACATTACTTCCATTCCATATCTCTGTGCTATAACGCTGCAATAGTGTAAAACTGTGTGATACAAAGGTTCCTGGCAGCAGCTCCTAATAATTATTTATGCTTTTGGAATTTTTTTTCAGCTCATTAAACCTCTGTCCATTTCAGTTTGGTTTTCTCAATTTGTACAATATAAGCATATTCTCTTTCTCCCTTTTGTCATCTCCCCCTTTTGTTTTTTAATGTTCTGTAGTTTTGTACAAGACAAGACTTACTAGCCTTGGGTATTTCTTGCTGAAGCTTTAATGCTTTGTCAATAAAATCGGATGTTTATTAAAGAACAGGTGTAGATGCTTGTTTGTAGGTACTGATCACTTTGGAAACTCACTGCCACTTTGTGTCATAGCAGAGGCAGCTTCTGTGCTGTCAGAAGGCCTTTGTGGACACACACAGCTGGGATGGATTAGGGATGGTCAGGCAGTCCAGGTTTCTGCCTCAGGACAAGATTACACATAACTCAAACAAAGGTATTAAATTGAAAAGAATAGGAACGGTCTCTCCCCAAGTGTTTAAATTCATGTAAGTGTGTATCACTGCGCTGTCGCGGCCCCCATGCTGGGGGTGTTCTGGAGGCTGTGCAAACACATGCAGAGCTTCCTGCCTTCGTGGAGCTTTCTTAACCTGCAAGTACAGTTAAATTCCTCTTTACTAGCCTTTGTCCCACACTAGATTAAATTAACTTTAGAACCCATTGAATGCTTACTGCCCCCTAAACAACATATCATAAAACCTATTTAAGTCTTTGATTTTAATCATCAAATCTGAGTGTTTACATATTAGTCTTTTCTATTATGTGCCTGAGAATCTGTCTTTGACATCATAGCCGTTTCATAGCAACACTGGCCAAGTGAAAGATGAGCACCTCTGTTCTATAGAGTGAAGGGAACAGGCCAGGCCGAGAGGCAGGGACAATTAGGCATCCTCTCCAGAAAATTTCTTTGGTGCCTTTGGGAAGGAGAAGTGCCTTGAAGGTGGAGAAGAGCGGCATTTAATATTGCCTACCTTGCTGATAAACATTTGGACTCTAAAAGGGCTCTTCGCCCTTGTCTTCATGAATTTTCAATTCTATTTAAAATTCCTGACACACGAACAGTGTTTCACACTTTACAAAGTATTTTTATGTTCGCTGTCATTTGATGTTCAAAGTGACCTTCCTGAAATAGGCAGGAAGGTTTTCATTTACAAAGGAGGATTTAGAAATAGAAAATTCAGGCAGGGTGTCTCTTACCTTCCAATCCAGAGTTCTTAATCCTTTTTTATAGAAGGTTTAGGAGCATCGAGAATCAAAAACTTAATTCACTGTAATTCTCATTCTCTCTCTCTCTCTCTAATTGTTATTTGATTTCTTATTTGGTTAGATTTAACTGGGGTTTTAAAACCCTTTAAATTAGATCCCACAATTTGGTAGGGACGGGAAAGAGTGAGGAAAAGTCTAGCTTCAATGCATTTGAGGTAATTTGGAAATTCAGCTTCTAAGGTCTTCATCTTTGTCTCCCCAAGGGGTGAATTTAAATTCATTAAAAGGATGTGGAAAGAATGAACACTGGTGAGGTGGTCATTAACTAGCAGAGATGGCAAAGCAGCAACTGTGGCTTTTTTTCCTGCCTTGTGGCCTCACCTGTTAATAAGGATTGGACTTTGGTTTGTTAAGTGACATCGTTTTATTGACAACGCATGCATCATATCTTTTGACTTTGAAGGATATCTCATGTAGAAGGAATTGAGTTAAATCATAGAGGATTGAACTGGAATACCTTGGCGTGCAGGCTGAGAGTGGCGAAATGTCTACTGAGACATGAAGACTTTGGCCACTAGTTTTATCCTTGGAAGTCTGGTGCTGACTTTCTATCTGCCTTTGGTGACGACTTTACCTAAAACACTGGCCATCCCTGAGAAGCTGCAAAAAGCTGTGGGGAAAGTTATTGTAAATGCCACAACCTGTACTGTCACCTGCGGCCTTGGCTATAAGGAGGAGACCGTCTGTGAGGTGGGCCCAGATGGAATGAGAAGGAAGTGTAAATCGCAGCGCCTGGAATGTCTGACCAACTGGATCTGTGGGATGCTCCACTTCACCATTCTCAAGGGAAAGGAATTTGAGCTGAGCTGTCTGAGTTCAGACATCCTGGAGGTTGGGCAGGAAGCTTTCCGGTTCACCTGGAGACTTGCTCGGGGTATCATCTCAACTGATGATGAAATCTTCAAGCCCTTCCGAGGCAGTTCCCACTTCGTGAAGTTTGAATCTGCTCAGGAGTATGACTCTGGGACCTACCGGTGTGATGTGCAGCTGTTAAAAAACTTGAGGCTCGTCAAGAGGCTCTATTTTGGGCTGAGGGTCCTTCCTCCCAACTTGGTGAACCTGAATTTTCATCAATCCCTTACTGATGATCAGAAGACGGTAGATGAGGGCCTGGAAGTGAATCTGGATACCCATCCCAGGCCTTACCGTCCACTATGGAGAAAGAAGGTGGCGATAGCCTTGGGACTAGGGATTGCTAGTGGAGTGATTGGCGGTATGTTGGTGAGCATTGTCTTGTACAGAGGATTGAGGGTGGTCAATAGCAGTGCCAGCCTGAAGACCTAACAGGCCTTGCTCCTGAAGGGCTGGCTGCGCAGGCAGCGGGACTTGGCTGCTCAGGAAACCAAGCTCGATTTTCAGGGGAGTGTCCTGGCTGCCTGATTGTGGTTCAGCTAAGAGGGAAGGGTTCCAGGGCCGAAAGAGTGAATGGGAGATGTCAAGAAGGGGCTACATCGTGGTAGCTATGGGCAATAATCTCTTAACTTCTTTGTGTCCAAGATGGATCTCTTCCTGATCTCCCCTGCCCGCTAGGTACCCAGCTGACCCGACTGCGGGCATCTCCCCTGCTGCCGGGAAGAGTTCTGTCTTCCAGGCCTGCATCCATTTTCTGCCCTTTATAGCCTGTATGCCTCCCCACCCCTTCCTCCCTTCTGAGCAGCATGCTCACATAAATGGGCATGGTAATAATAGCTTTTCTAATGAAAACATTTTTTTCCTCTTCAATAAAAATAATTGACAGTGGCTGTATGGAGACTTAATCTTTTTTATTCTTTAGTTCAACATTTCTTGCATTCATTTAAATTGTCCCATAATTGGTCTGGCTTTTGTTTTCCTCAAATTTCTTAGAATAGACATTGAACAAATTGCGTTGCAATAGGGCATAGGCCCGTGTGTGCCAGAACCAAGGTTAGCTGTGACAACTGACTTGAGTATGTAATAGACCCTCACTAAATGTTAATAATTTACCTGCCCCCCCCCCCCGCCATTCTCCCCAGGTGAATCTTCAGTTTTCAGTGTTACATTAATTTCTGGCAAAACTGATAGGCTTCCCCCCAAAAATCCCTTGGCTTGCCCCCTGCTTCTCTCCTGGCTCTATCAGTGCCCTGAAGGTCAAATGTATTGGTTTCTTATAGTAACCAAGACCCCTTAAGGGAGGACTAGTACCTTCCTCTATGGGAAATCCAATATTAAGACCCTCAGAGGCCATTCAGACTCTGAGATAATTGGCTTGTGCAACCATCAGGGAAAAAGGCTCTCGGCCACTGGCCAAGCTAATTCTGAGAGAATTATAGCATTTCTTCCCCTCACTTTTCTCTGGCTACAGAGTGGGTAGTAGAAACCAAGACTTGGACCAGTGGTTCTCTTCTCCAGCTGTGTCTGACCCACTTGGATGAGCTTTTGAGATTCCTGAGCCCCAACTCTGAGGATGTTAATTCAGTTTCAATTATGGCCAATGGATATATATGATTTCCTCTACTTTTAATTTTTAAAAACGTCAAACCTGCAGAAAATTTGAAAGAAAGATTTGGTGACACCCATAGACCCTTTACTTGGAGTCATCAACTTTGAACATTTTGCTACAATTATCTTTCTAAATAATACTGATTTTACTGAACAACTTGAATGCTAGTCAGAGACATTGTGATGTTAGTCTGAAATCATGTATGTGTCTCCTGATAAGGGCATTCACCTATATAACTGCAATATCTTCATCACATTTAAGAAAATGAACAATTCCCTACTCTGACATAGTTCATTTAAAAAATATTTCCTAATATCTTAGAGATTTTTTTGTTTAATTATTGATCCAGGATCAAATGAAGATTAACATACTACATGTGGTTGTTTCTCTTATATCATATTTTGTAACAGATCCCCTGCTATTTTTGTTTTTTCTGCCATTGATTTGGTTGAAGAGTCTAGCTAGGCCAGTTGTCTTGGGTGGTGTCCCACAATCTGGATTTATCATTGTTTCCTAATAATTAGGTTTGAGGCATAAATCCTAAACATTCTTACAAGAGCTCCATAGGTAAGTAATGATATGTCCTTATTGCATCACGTCAGGAGGCACATGATATCGGGGTGAGGTGCTAGTGATGATAGATCTTTCCAAAGGTATATATACTTTTTCCTTTTGTAATTAACCTGTAGGACGATGGTCTTGAAATCACATATCTTGAAATCCATTCATGATCCTTGCCTTATTATTACATGTTGGGGATTGCAACATGGTGATTCTTTAAACTCGCCATTTCTTTATTTAGTAACTGCAGTTTTCTGTGGAAAAGAGCTACTTGACTCTATTTTTAAGGTCTCAATGGCTTCTCTTTCTTATTCAGTGAATTATATATAATCCATTAGTGTTGTTAGGTTCTTGATGTTCAAATTGTCCCCAGTTTTGGTCAGCAGGAGTTCCTTCAAGTCAGTTCTTTTGTCCTTTTGATGTTACCTTATTTGACTTATATGTCCTTACTTTCTACTACAACAGGATGTCTCAGATCCACATTTGGCCTTTCCTTTCTCCAAACCTGAATCCACTGCTTCTCCAGGGAACTCTGGTTCCTTTTAGTGTGGGGAGCAGTTCTTAAAAACAGGTCTGGGTGCTAGATGTGCTTATTGCCACTGGAGAGTCACTGCTTTTAGGCCCTTTCAGTGTCCTGGATATATATGTAAGTCATGAGTTCAAAGCATCTTTGTTTTGTAGAAGTTTTATAGGTGATTCTGATTTATAGTGAAGATTAAGAACCACTGGCCTAGGCCCACGCACATGGAATCTTTACTATGCTCTTACTTTGAAAAAATCTTCCACTTCCCACTCACCCTTCCTCCGATTCTCTCTACCTCAGAGATGGATTTCCGAAGACCTGGGTTCTGCTCCTCTTTCTGCCAGCAACTGTGTAATGGAACAAGCTGGCTGACCCTTTGTAGTCCTCCTCTTTGAACACGTGATTGTAAGGATCAAATGAGATCCTGTGAGTGGAACTGCTTGGTAAGCTGTGAAGGGCTGGATGTGGGTCAGGCAGCATTATTACTGACGCCTGTCTGTTCAGGACTGGACGACTTGCTGAAGCAGCCAGGAGAGAGCTTGCTATACTTTAAAAGACCACAAAGCATCTTTGTAGGTAACTCAGTATTACATTGCCGAGGAGGGAGGACTGGGGCCCAGTTTCACATTTTACAGATGGAGAGACTGAGACTTAAGTCACTTCTCCAGTGAGCCAGTGGTCACGCATGCATGGAATATTGTGCAGCTCTCGGTTTGTAGCCCTCTGTACATTGGAATCTTGAATTTTGACTCTGAGGGTATGAAGGGATGGAACAGGGAAGAAAACAAAAGACCCTCAGGTGTGTTAGTAAGTACCCAAACTCAATTCAGTTCATGGAATTCTGTGAATGTAATCTGCCTCTGAGGGTCAAGGAGATGTGGACTGGACTAAAATTTGGGTCCTAGAGTGGCCAGTGGTCCAAGTAGCCCCTTGGGTGCAAAGTGGACGGGATGAGCCTGCTACATTGCCATCATACTGGCCTCTTCTGGGGGCTTGCTGTCAGCCTGGGCTGCTGCTGACCGGGCCCCGGGCACATGGCTAAGCAGTGAGTAGGGGGCCTCTGCCTGCCTTGGTCTCCCTCCTCCCTGCATAGGGCTGTGGGCACAGTCAGCGCGGAGCCCTACCTGCTCTGCGCGGAACTAATGGAACACTGGCAGTGCCACGAAAGGTGTATCACTGCGCAGGCCTGAGACGTAACGGGCACTTGGTAGGCGTCTGTTGAGTGCATGAGAGAATGTTGCAGGCAGAAACTGACTAGGAGTTCAAAGTCTATTGGCTGCTGTGAACAGACTCTAGAGGCACCTGGAGTCTCCAGGTGGCGGCCTCTATATCTCTGCAGGAAGAAGACTTCCCTTGGGTACAGTTGAGTCAGTACTTCCAATGTCTTAACTATCAGGGCACCTTGAAAGAGTTCCGTCCCATGAGCGCTGTGTACCATCCATTGTGTTAGGGAAAGCCAGCCCAGTCTAGCGAAATGCCTGCTTGTGCACTGCTTGGGCCTGCCTTAGAGTTCCTTGGGCTGATTTTTCCCCCACCAGGACCGAAGGAAGCAATGCGGACTGCATGCTGTGACTTAGAGTTGGCGGGGAGAAGGGTGAAGTTGCTGGATGCAAGCCTGGGGCTAGGGAACAGGATGAGGAGATGCGCTTTAGCCCGGTGATAAAAACAGCCACAGCTGGTGCCAGTGGCCTCTGCAGGTTGAGAAACCGTCTTTATTTAAGAACTGCCTGCTACCAGAGTCAATAACTATCATTACAATAAATACGAGAGACAGACAACAGGCCAGTGGGGGTGCTTCCATCTGAACAAAAACCGAGTCAAGTCAGTGGGCTGATGAAGCCCTAGGCCTTGCCAAGCCAGGAGCTTTAACAAGCTTTGCAGGCCCTGGATAGGGTGGGTAAGTTGGAGTCCAGGGGCCAAGACAGGGCACAGCCCAACTAAGGGCGCTAGGCTTCCTGGGGCTTTCGGCAAGGCTACCTGACCCATTTTTTTCGCCTCTCCAGTTTCCCTCTATTGTTCTACCTTCCCAAAGCCTATGACCATTTACATACACATACACAGCGACCAGGCAGCTCTTTCCATGGAGCTCTTTGAAGTCCCTTAAAAATGCCTGTCTAATCCCTCACACCACTCCAGGAGCCTCTGGCCACCTTGTTCATCCCCAGGACAAAGCCCAGGTGAGGCCGACCCAGGGAAATGGGGCACCACACCTGGACCTCAAGGCCAGGGTTGAAGACACTGCCGTCCCTGTGACGTAGAGGAGCCCAGGTGGCAGTCATATTCTGAGACCTGGAAGAGAAGAGTCCTCTAGCCGAGAAACGGATGCAGGGAGCAAAACATCCTTGGTCAGCTTGGGCTCTTGTCCAGAGCACAGACTGGGTGGTTCCTGGGATTGCCAAGAGGTGGTGCATTCTGGGAAAAGGAGTGCCTGCATAAGGAGACTCTCCCCTTAGTGACAGACTGCGCTGAGGGGCCACAGCGCACGGGTGCTCTGAGACCCTTCGTGTGTTGAGCACCTTTTGGTGTGAAGCATCTTGGTCCTGGAAGGACACCCTACGGCATCTCCCCACCCCTCCAGTCGTCGCCTAACCTAGATTCCAGGGCAATGGCTATCATAGTTCCTCAAAGCTTCCTTAAAAAGGACGTAGCTTCTTGCTATTCCAGGGTTTCATTGCAGACGTTTCTGTCTAACCTCAGTCTCCTTATTTTATCAGAAGAAAAAGCACCCCACCCCCTGGGCGCCATGGCCCTTTTATTCCCTGGCATCATCTGTAGCACTTGATGCAAATAGTCAACCTGACCTCCGTGGGCCCCAGTACTCCATCCAAAGGAACACGTGGAGCCGGGCGGTGCAGCAAGGACCAGGCAGCCAAGGTCATGGTGAAGAGCCCTGCAGGCTGAGCTCAAGTGTGCACAGAACGGAGACGCTGTCTCCCAGGGCCTGAAGTGGTGTCTGCAGGCTGTCTCTGTCCCTAGTCCCCAAGGCACTTACTGGCCACTAAACTGTAGGGTAAAGTACTTGTTTGTGGCTGTCCCCCTTGCTGCCTCTCGGGAGCTTGGAATAAGAGAGGAGAGACC